GCGTCCCGAGGTCAGCGCGTCAAGTAGCACAGGCGGTCAGCAGCAGCAGATGCGTCGACTCACAGGCGCTGAGCGTGTGACGACTCCAACGACGCTGGACTTGGAGAGTGAGGGGCGAACTGGCAGGCTGGACTTGACCGCAGCGTGCACAGTATCACGGGCAGCCACGCGCCGTAAACGATGGGTACGGCCAGCACATGTGTACCACCGTCGTCCGAGGCGTGGAAACCGGAAGCACGGAGCGTGGTCGGCCAGGGACACTTGGGATCGAGCTTGCAAAATCGGAAATGAGCTCCGATGCGAGAAGGTCATTTTGATTCGGAGCAAGCCGAGCAAGCCGACCAAACAACAGTGGATCGATTTGAACTAATTCCGCCAATCACACTTCTTGTTGAACTTTGGCAGCCAATCACTGTCATCGATTTTTCGGAGACAGGTTTTGATTGGTCAAAGCGAAGACATGGGGAAAATGTCAGCGCGGGAAAGCTTGAAAAGATCAACCAAAGCAAAATGGGCACCAAAAAGGCGAGCCTTTACATGTTGTGTAAACCACTTCAAATACCAATAGCCTATTTATGTGACATTATGTATCGCGACCGCTCTACCCGTTCTCCCTCGCCGAAACGCCCTACCATCGGCATTCCCCCAATCATGGTCTCGATGGACCTGGTCGGAAGCGTCTCCGCCGTCGGCGACACGGATGCGATGGTGGCGGGCGACTCGGGCAGCAAGCACAACGGCGGCCGCAGCGCCGCCGTGTGTGCCGTCAACAGCATGGTCTCGGAGGCTTCCGCGGCGACCGTGGCCGTGTTGGACGTGATCAGGGGCGTCTCCGCTGGCATGGTCACGAACGTGACGGTGGCATTCGGCGCGGTCGATGAGACTAATAGGGGTGCTTTCGTGTTGGCTGGGCAGCGCCACGAGAGCGTTTATAGCAGCGGCATCGATAGCCGGGCTTAGTTGCCTTGCTGGCGGTAGGAGCGTCTTGAACCTGGTGTTGAGTACATTGATGGGGATGGGACCATTGTGAAAGGTCGGTAGGTTATCAGGCGAAGAAGTATGAGACCAAATATCTTATGGTATGTATGGCATTATAGATTTCTAGATCTCGTGGCAACCCGATGGCAGACTTCTCGGACGAAGAGGACTTGCTGCTTTATCGGCTGGCAAAGGAGCAGGTTGATGCAGGCCGCCGAATTAACTGGCGGACTGTCTGGTTGGGGATGCCATACTGCGGGAAGACACAGCGACAGCTGCAGATTCGTCTAAAGACGCTGAAGAGGACACACGGCGTGAGCTTAGATTCTTTCCCAAGGAGATTTCGGGATCAAAAATCGGCACGGACGCGCTTAGTGGTGGCCACAAGGTGAGCGCTCCCGATAATATTGGCAACGTTCATGACGCTGTGTCAAGTTTGTATGCCTCGGCCTTGCGTCAACCCGTCCATGCGCCGGATTGTCATGCTGGTGAGATTTCGCCAACTGGGGTTTCAGCAATACTGGCAGTCATTCCAACGCTTACAATCGCCGACGCTTTTGTTGACTTTGGATCTGGGATCGGCAACGTGGTTGCACAAGTGGCATTGGAGACTTGTGTTGGGAGATGCATCGGGATTGAGTTCCAGGACAACTTGGCAAACATGTTCAAACTGCTGATTCGTGGCGCACGCGTGGATTTCCCGAATTTATCCAAGGTCACGATTCACGAGGCCGACCTCAGAGCGATGAGCCCTGCCGTACGCGAGGATATTGACGGGTGCAGTGTTTTATTTGCGAACAATATCGTTTTCGAGCCTACAAGTTTTGCGGCGCTGGAAGACTTTGCATCTTCAGCAGCAGGTTTGGTCCACGTCGTTGTCATGGCAACAATTTGCGGCCGGCACCGCCCAACCTGCCCGCGCAACTTCTGCTCTGTCTGGACGCTCCGACAGCGTATCGACGTTCAAGTGTCTTGGTCTTCCCAGCTTCATCACGCATACTGGTACACCAGGGTTGTAGAGCCCTACATCTAAGTACCTCGCGCAGAATGGAAAGGGACATTCAATATACTTCGTTTGTCAGACATGTTCATCCCACTGTTCATTACCTGTAGAGCCAATAACATATATCAGCCATTGTACACATCTACATCAACGTCTTGCACGGACATCGTAGCTCTGACCGCATCCCCCAAGGTCCATCGCGCCTGAAAACCTGCTGTCGATGTCGCTGGCGACGCCGCTGACGCTACTACCGGCGGCAACCGGCGTGCGGACTGCCGCTGTCGTTGCGCTCGCTGCCCGAGCCGAATGCCACCGTCGCGTTCGTGACCATGCCACCGTCGCGTTCGTGACCATGCCAGCGGAGACGCCCCCGATCACATCCAACACGGCCACGGTCGCCGCGGAAGCCTCCGAGACCATGCTGTTGACGGCACACACGGCGGCGCTGCGGCCGCCGTTGTGCTTGCTGCCCGAGTCGCCCGCCACCATCGCATCCGTGTCGCCGACGGCGGAGACGCTTCCGACCAGGTCCATCGAGACCATGATTGGGGGAATGCCGATGGTAGGGCGTTTCGGCGAGGGAGAACGGGTAGAGCGGTCGCGATACATAATGTCACATAAATAGGCTATTGGTATTTGAAGTGGTTTACACAACATGTAAAGGCTCGCCTTTTTGGTGCCCATTTTGCTTTGGTTGATCTTTTCAAGCTTTCCCGCGCTGACATTTTCCCCATGTCTTCGCTTTGACCAATCAAAACCTGTCTCCGAAAAATCGATGACAGTGATTGGCTGCCAAAGTTCAACAAGAAGTGTGATTGGCGGAATTAGTTCAAATCGATCCACTGTTGTTTGGTCGGCTTGCTCGGCTTGCTCCGAATCAAAATGACCTTCTCGCATCGGAGCTCATTTCCGATTTTGCAAGCTCGATCCCAAGTGTCCCTGGCCGACCACGCTCCGTGCTTCCGGTTTCCACGCCTCGGACGACGGTGGTACACATGTGCTGGCCGTACCCATCGTTTACGGCGCGTGGCTGCCCGTGATACTGTGCACGCTGCGGTCAAGTCCAGCCTGCCAGTTCGCCCCTCACTCTCCAAGTCCAGCGTCGTTGGAGTCGTCACACGCTCAGCGCCTGTGAGTCGACGCATCTGCTGCTGCTGACCGCCTGTGCTACTTGACGCGCTGACCTCGGGACGCACCGGGCATGAAGTTGGACTCGCTGTCCGTCGTGTACCCACCCGACGACCACGTCCCGCACAACCGCCGCAACAGCGCATTTGTTGTCGATAACGCAGTGCTACTAGAACTGGCGCTGGGATGGTGTCGTTTGTCCCGTAGTCCCCAACTCTCCTCACGGCATTGCCGCCGGGTGTGGCTGTCAACCACGTTCAGCTGCGAGACGCCAAGATTCCGCTACAGGACCCCGAGATGGAGCGTCGGAGGCGGCACTGGACGACTGCCCACTAGACCTGCAGGTGGACGGCGTTCTCCCGCCCTTTTTCGCTTCCAGCGATCCTCATCGACGGACAACCGCACGTAGATGCCTCAGGAGGGAGCGGGGTGCCACCGGCGACAAAGATCAAGAGAGGCTACCGCTAGAAATGGAGCGTTCGAGTCCCATCGGGGGTCAAGATGGAGCCTGAAGTCGCCATGACGACGACGTCGCAAGCGCCCAATTTGCCCTGCGACATGGACACGCAGGCGGCATTGGCACTTGGCAGCAGTGTATCTACGATGGGCGTCACCACTGTCGCCGTGTACCGTAGTTCGGACCGTCACTATGGGGCTTGCATGGGTCAACGTAACTGTGGAGACGATGCCGAAGCCGCTACAGCACTTACATTTGGTAGCAATACTGGAGTAAATCTAAGTACCGTATGTTACCGTTGAACGCTTTGAGTACTCGTACTATTCATGACTCTGTGTAATTACACTGTATTCAACCCGCACTCGATATCCGATGCATTTTGCACGGTACCTTATCAGCACAGCTACGCTGCATTCCGCATGGCGGGCATTGAACCTGCACCGGTGGGTTCAAACTCCACCATACTATACTAACATCACATACAACGATGAGTCGAACCACCCCATACAAAGCCTAGTACGTTAGGTCCCTTTGAACACTTCGAACATGGCCATACAAATAACAATATATTCGGTCCATCATATCCACCCAACAACGCTGATCTCTAGTACTTCATCATTCTAGATTCTGCGCTCAAGTGGAAAGATGGTTGTTCGCAGGAAGGACGCGGATAATGTAGAGGTACGTGTTTTGGCTGTTTCGGCATCGTGTGTTATGCTAGTGCTAATACGAACGGCTATGTATGGGTAGCTGCCAGGACCAACGAAGACGCATGCAAGCGATGGAAGGCGAATTTACGGATCGTCCAAGACGCTTGAAATGGTAGTGATGACATTGTTTCGGCCGTGCTGATGCTCATCGCATATATAGTCTTTGGCTTTGTGTAGCGCCGGTGAGCAACTGGAGTTCGACAATCTGTATCCAGTATTTGTGACCCCTTCTGGGCGAGAGCGGGTAAGTTCGTGTAGCTACGCAATAACGTTTGGCTAAAGCTAATCAGTGCCTACCTGTAGAGAACCGAAGCGAGATGTGGCACGTCGATCGACATAGACGACTTCATAATTGCACTGCCAGTGAAACAGATGAACGACCTCTACGTGGCGATTTGTCGCGGTGAAGATGACCGTGCGCTCAACTTTATCTGGATGATGCGTTGGCAGGAGACGTGCATGGAGCTGTCTGAGGTAAGCCAAAATGTGTATCGTGGCTGGTTACGGGTAATGATATCTATGTTTGTATTCAATATGAAAATGTAGATCACGCGACCGCAAATTCGGGCACGTCTAAAATGTATAAACTCCAACTTGTTGCGGTATCGCGAGGAGCAAGACGAACATATCGAGCGCTTTATCGCGATGGAGGCGGACCCTTCCACACCACACGACACCCTCATGAACCATTATAAGGAAGGCCTTGACTTGCAGAAACGCTACAACATAGTTGCCGATCTAGCCACAGCTATGGACAGAGTCGATATGCTGGCGGACCAACTCAAGGATCAAGCTCACTGGACATGCTCTTGCGAGAAGCGCGCATACCACCGCTCGCCCCAATGGCTTCAAGAGCAACCTCTCGACTTGGCACCACAAGCTCTAAGGCCGCGCTGGTTTTGGCCTCCCCGCTATCATGGGTGATATCCAGTTGATTCGCTGGGCAGGACGCTCCAAGGTGAAAACACGTTACTGAAGTTACTATGTCCTCCCCCTAGTAACAGAGCAATATGCAATTAAGTTGAATGTAATATCTCAAGTAATGTTTCATCTAGTGTGAATTGATAATTCTAACGAAACCCAAAGCTGTCTGAATACAGTGATCCTTTGCTCCAGCACGTATACCCATTCCGCCCACATCCACCAAGGCCACGGTCACCTCCATCGTGTCCGAGACCCTGCTGTCGATGTCGCTGGCGACGCCGCTGACGCTACTACCGGCGGCAACCTGCGTGCGGACTGCCGCTGTCGTTGCGCTCGCTGCCCGAGCCGAATGCCACCGTCGCGTTCGTGACCATGCCAGCGGAGACGCCCCCGATCACGTCCAACACGGCCACGGCCGCCGCGGAAGCCTCCGAGACCATGCTGTTGACGGTGCTGACGGCGCTCCCGTAGCCATTTCGCCCGCTGCCCGAGATGCCCGCAGTCATCGCGTGCTTGTCGCCGCCGTCGGAGACGCTCCGGCCAGGTCCAGGACAGCCGCCATAGTCGCCAGCGTCGCATCGGAGACCACGACGCCGCCGCTTCACAACTAGGAAAAGCCCCACATAATCCACAAGATGGCGCTGTGATCCACGGTACTGCTCTTACTAATGTTTTGTTAGGGTGCTGTTCTCACTGTACTGCTTCCACTGATACTTTTGTCGATTCGCAGCGAATCACAGAGAAGCAGTAAAATGATGCCTCACGTATCTTTTTGATCGAAAGGTCGCTTCAAACCTCCCATCACGTATACTTTTGATCAGTTGGCCTCGCAAACCTAATACAGCAAAATGATACCTCATGCATCATTTTACCCCGTTTTACTTAAAGTTTGTATGGTGTCCCTTCAAACAGAAATGTATGGCGTTAACGATAGGGTTAATATTCACGAAGATCATGGACGTGTACGAGATTCCTGGAGTGACCTTCGATCTGGCGGAAACTATCGCGGCCAAGACGGTGAAAGACCTCCTGGCAAAGTTTGTTCCTGAAGCCCGGATGAAAATGAAATGAAGGGAAACACCTTCCCGTCAGGAAAATACTTAACGGATAGCGCCAAATAGCGTACCCTTCCCGAATTGAATACCTCCTCTCAAATCTGATAGAATGTGCTCAGTATACAAAGCTATTGTACCTACGCCAATTTGTATACCTCAACCAAACCGTATAGAACGTTGAGTGCTTATAATTTTCTTGAAATTTATGTGAAGTTTAGCATGTAAACATCTTTTGATTGGCTAAGAGATGTCTTAAAATTGAAAATCACCCTTTATTTTCCGTATAAGTATTACTTTGTCAAATACGGCAAGCAAGATCCGGTTATTTTTATCTTTTTAAAGACCACAGTTTAAAAACTGACACTTGTATTCGGTACTGTTTGCATTTTGTGTAACTTTACGCAAAATTACCGTAAGGTACCCAAAGAAAAATGGTTTTGGTTGTTGGTCTAAGTTCTGCTTGCATCTAACGGCATGAGAGACGTTGTGAACCAACGCTGCGCAATCTATGGATGTCTCCATGGTTTGAAGACTGGTACATACGTTGGCAGGATGCCATCAAAGAGGTTTTGCAGAACGTAGCTAGCTCTACACACAATATTTCAGACTTGAATGCGTCGGAGCTACTTTGGTAGTATAACCCCCTTCCTATTTGTATATCTTTCTAGATTTGACAAGTGTTCAATTCAATAGTATGCGGTATACAAATTGGCGTTTTCCGTTAGCTACCGTTTTTGCCATCGGTGTAGTGTCTAGGAATCGAAGCACACACAGCTTGAACTCGTACGTACTTAAGTAATCGCAACGAGCGCTCGTACTGCTTTGGCCGCGCGTCACCTTCACTTTTTAAGCGCGTTCTACCTGTTCGCGCCATTCAAAATGGCGTAACGCAACGAGCGCGGCTATCAGGCTCCGAGATTGAATGTCTTATTTCAAGTGTGAATTATATGGCTTTCATTGGATAATCGAAAGTGTGCTCTATGATATATATGTGCTCTATGATATTGTGCTTTGCAACCGGTATTCCCTCCTAATTAGTGCACTAGATAGTGTTCGTACTTAGTGGTAAATCATAGTGGCTTTGAAGTCGTGTTTCGAAGCCAGCTTGGCTCGGAAATGGCACTTTCGGAAAGTGCCAAAAGGATGCTAATCCATGCTGGATGTGCTAAATCATGCAGGAGATGACATACGCGCGAGGAATTAAGTTTCAAGTAGATTGAAGCCTTTTTGTAAAAGTCTAAGTAGGTGAATGCATCAATTTGCAAGTAGATTGCCACAGTCAAAAATAACGTTTTATCATATCCGAATTGAACGTTAATTTTATGGGCAAAAATAACTGTTTTCCAGGGCCAAGTAATATCGTACGAAATTACCTTTTTAGAGTAAGAGTGTCGTAATGCTAATGTGTAAGTTTACATCATCGCTTCGTAGAATTGTATGCACGCAGACCAAACTAACGCACTTGGTTCTGTATTAAAACTTCGTCGGCCGCGCGTCTGATAAGTACAGTTGGGTTTGTTGAAAAGTCTGAAAGCAACAACCTACGACTCGTAAGTTTTAAAACGGACGGGCATTCTGAGCAGGCCACGCCTCTGTTAAGTACTCTTACGTTTATTGTAACGTACGACAGCAATAACTTACGACTCGTAAGTTTTAAAACGGACGGGCATTCCGAGCATCTCACTTCGCGGTATTCTGAGCTTCTTGGCGTACATTTTGAAACGGACGTTCATACTTTTTTTCAGTATCTTGGGCCGGAGCTTAGCA